AACTGAGCTATGCGGGCCAGGGGCCTGTTTGTTCATTTATTTTGTTCTTTAGATTCTACATATAAGTTAAATTATATGGTATTTGTGTTTCTCTGACTATCAACTAGTATAATACCTCTAGGTCCACTCACACTTTTGCAAATGGTAAGATTTTATTTATTTTTTGTAATATTCCATTGTATATATGTAGCACAACTTTTTTATTTATTTGTTTATTGGTGGACACTTGAATTGCTTTCATATCTTAGCTATTATAAATAATGCTGCAGTGAACATAGGGGTGCATGTATTCTTTGGAATTAGTGTTTTAGGTTTCTTTGGATATATACCCAAAAGGGGAATCACTGGGTCATAAGGCAGGTTCATTTTAAATTTTTTAGGGAACTTCCATACTATTTTTTGTACGGCTGCACTAATCTGCATTCCTACCAACAGTGTATGAGAGTTCATTTGTCTCCACATCCTCAACACTTGTCTGTTGATTTACTGATGATGGCCCTACTGACTGGTGTGAGGTGGTAATTTCAATGTGGTTTTAATTTGCATTTCTCTGATGATTAAGTGATGTTGAGCATCTTTTAGTATGTCTATTGTCCATCAATCTATATGGCCTCTTTAGGGATGTCCCTATTTGGATCTATTGCCTATTTTTAAAATTGGGTTGTTTGGTTTTTTGGTGTTGAGTGTATGAATTCTTTATAAATTTTGAATATGAACCCCTATCAGAGCTATCATTGGTGAATATCTTCTTCCATTCAGTTGGTTGTCTTTTTGTTTTGTTGATGATTTCCTGTGCTGTGCAAAAACTTTTTAGTTTGATGTACCATTTTTTGAATTTTATTCTTTTTTTTCCCCCCTTGCCTAAGGAGATATGTTAGAGAAAATATTGCTATGAGAAATGTCTGGGATTTTACTGCTTATGTTTTCTTCTAGGAGATTTCTGGTTTTGTATATTACATTAAGTCTTAAATTCATTTTGAGTTTATTCTTGTAAATGGTGTAAGGAGGTGGTCTAGTTCCTTTTTTGTTTTTTTTTTCATGTATTTGTCCAATTTTCCCACACTGTATTTGAATTAACAGTCTTGACCCCATTGTATATTCTTGTCTCCTTTGTCAAATATTAATTGACTATAAAGGCATGAGGTTATATGTGGGCCTTCTCTTCTGTTCATTGATCTGTTTTTATGCTAGTACGATGCTGTTTTGATTACTATGTACATGCAGTGTAGTTTGATATCAGGTAGCGTGATATCTCCAATTTTGTTCTTCTTTCTCAAGATTTCTGGGGCTGTTCAGGGTCTTTTGTGGTTCCATGTAAGTTTTTGGTATGTATATTTGTTCCAGTTTTGTGAAATAATGCCATTGGTATCTGGATAGGAATGGCATTGAATCCATAGATTGCTTTGGGTAATATGGACATTTTGATGATGCTAATTCTTCCTATCCGTGAACATGGTATATGCTTCCACTTACTTGTATCTTCCTCAGCTTCTTTCTTCAGTATCTTATAATTTTCTGAGTACCCGTCTTTTACCTCCATGGTTAAATTTATTCTTGGTTACCTTATTTTTTTCATTGTTGTTGCAATTGTACATGGTATTGTTTTCTTAGTTTCTTTTTCTTGATAGTTCATTATTGGTGTATAGAAACGCCACTGATTTCTAGTTACTAATTTTCTATCTTGCTACTTTACTGAATTCATTTACCAGTTCTAGTAGTTTTTTTGGTGGAGTCTCTATGGTTCTCTATATATATTATCATACCATCTGCAGATATATGACAGTTTTACTTTTTCTTTTTCTTTTTTAATATATTTTATTGATTATGCTATTACAGTTGTCCCATTTTGCCCCCTTCACTCCCCTCCACCCTGTACACCCTCTCCCACCCATATCTCCCCCTTTAGTCCTGCCCATGTGTCATATTTATAATTTCTTTAGCTTCTACATTCCCCATACTATTCTTAACCTCCCCCTATCTATTTTCAACCTACATTCTATGCTACTTATTCTCTGTACCTTTCCCCCCTCTCTCCTCCCCCTATTTCCCTGTTGCTAACTCTCCATGTGATCTCCATTTCTGTGGTTCTGTTCCTGCTCTAGTTGTTTGCTTAGTTTCTTTTGGTTTTGTTTTAGGTGTGGTTGTTAATAATTGTGAGTTTGCTGTCATTTTATTATACATGTTTTTTCTTTATCTTCTTTTCTTAGATAAGTCCCTTTAACATTTCATAAAATAAGGGCTTGGTGATGATAAACTCCTTTAACTTGACCTTATCTGAGAAGCACTTTATCTGCCCTTCCATTCTAAATGAGAGCTTTGCTGGATAGAGCAATCTGGGATGTAGGTCCTTGTCTTTCATGACTTGGAATATTTCTTTCCAGCCCCTTCTTGCCTGTATGGTCTCTTTTGAGAAATCAGCTGACAGTCTGATGGGAACTCCTTTGTAGGTGACTGTCCCCTTATCTCTTGCTGCTTCTAGGATTCTCTCCTTCATTTTTTACCTTGGCTAATGTAATTATGATGTGCCTTGGTGTGTTTCTTCTTGGGTCCAACTTCTTTGGGGCTCTCTGAGCTTCCTGGATTTCCTAGAAGTCTATTTCCTTTGCCAGAGTGGGGAAGTTCTCCTTTATTATTTGTTCAAATATGTGCTCAATCTGTTGCCTTTTCTCTTCCCCTTCTGGTACCCCTATAATTCGGATGTTGGAATGTTTAAAGATGTCCTGGAGGTTCTTAAGCTTCTCCTCTTTTTATTTGAATTCTTATTTCTTCATTCTTTCCTGCTTGGTTGTTCTTTTCTTCCTTCTGGTCCACTCTGTTGTTTTGAGTCCCAGTTTCCTTCCCTTCACTATTGGTTCTCTGTGTATCTTCCTTCATCTCTTTTATGGTAACCTGCATTTTTTCATCTAATTTGCGCCCAGAATCAACCAATTGTGTGAGGTTCCTGATTACCAGTGTTTTGAACTGTGCATCTGATAGATTGACTATCTCTTGGTCGCTCAAAAGGATGAGTCCTGGGGGACTGATCTGTTCTTCTGTTGGAGACATGTCTCTCTCTCTCCCTTCCCCTCGGGGTCTGGTCGCTCTTGTTACGGTGAGGGGTGGAGCCTTAGGTGTTTACCTGGGCATGGCACCCCAGTCGCTAGATTGTGACGTTGTATGTGGGGGTGGGCTTGGGGGGCGGGAGGGAACAATGGCGGTAGCTCCGTTCTCCTGGGATCTCAGTCCCTTCTCTGGGATCCTGGGTTGCGCGCTCTGCCCTGGTCCACAATGCTGCCTCACTGGGTCCGCCAGCCGCCGTTTGCGTACTCAGGGTCCACTGCTACGTCCCAGAAGGCTAACACGCTCCAGGTTGCCTTATGCGCCCAGTTCTCCCCATCTCCACGCACCACGACCTACGCCCGCTCCTCCTCTCAGCCCCTCCTACCGGTCTGGATGAACGGGTCTACTTCAACTTCTTGGCTGTCCAACTTCCATTCAGATAAATTCTCTATCAGTTCTGGGTGTTATTCTGGCTCTAAATTGTTGTTGATCTAATCTTGGTAGTGCGTGGAGGTACACTGCGTCAACCTATTCCTCCATCTTGCCAGAAGTCCAGTTTTACTTTTTCTTTTACAATTTGGATGGTTTTTATTTCTTCTTGTCTGGTGACTATGGCTAAGACTTCTGCTACTGTGTTGAATTAGAGTGGTAAAAGTGAACATCCTTGTCTTTGTCCTAACCTTACAGGAAACACTTAGTTTTCCTCATTGATTATGATGTTAGCTCTGGGTTTGTATGGATGAATGACCTCTACTATTTTGAGATATGTTCCCTCTACTCCCATTTTAATTCGAATCATCATAAGTGGGTGTTGAATTTTATTAAATGCTTTTTTGCATATATTGATATGATCATATGATTTTTATCCTTGATTTTGTTTATGTAGTATATCACTTTAATTGATTTGAGGATACTGTACCACCCTTTCATCCTAGGAATAAATCCCACTTGATCATGGTGTATGATCTTTTTAATGTATTGATGAATACCGTTTGCTAATTCTTTGTTGGGGATTTTTTGCATCTATATTCATCAGGAATGTTGGCCTATAATATTCTTCCTCTTCAGTGTCTATCTGGTTTTGAAACAAGGATAATGCTTGCCTCATAAAATGAGATTGGGAGTTTTCCCTATTCTTGGAATTTTTGTTATAGTTTATAAAGGATAGGTGGTGTTCTTTGGATGTTTGGTAAGATTCACTAGTCAAGCCACCTGGTCCAAGAGTTTTATTTGTTGGAGGTTATTTGATTTCTGCCTCGATTTTGTTGGTTGTAATTGATCTGTTAAGATTTTCTGTTCTTGATTCAGTTTTGGAGGATTGTATGTTTCTAGGAATTTATCCATTACTTCCAGATGATCCAACTACATGTGGGCATATAGTTGTTTGTAATATCTTCTGATAGTCCTCTATATTTCTATGGTGTCTGTTGTTACTTCTCTTTCATTTCCGGTTTTATTTATTTGGGTCCTCTCTTTTTCTTGATGAGTTTCATTAAAGGTTTATCAATCTTGTTTATCTTTACAAAAACCACCTCTTGGTTTCATTGACCTTTTACACTGTTTTATTAGGCTCTTTTATTTCCACTATGATCTTTATTTTTCCCTCTTTCTACTCACTTTAATTCCTTTAGGTGTAAGGTTAGATTGTTTGAGATTTTTCTTGTTTATTGAGGTATGCCTGTATTGCTATGAATTTCCCTCTTATGGTTGGCGTCACTGTGTCCCATAGATTTTGGGTTGTGTTTTCATTTTCATTTGTCTCTAGGTCTCTTGATTTCTTTCTTGTTCTCATTGTTAACCCACTCATTGTTTAGTTACATGTTATTTAGTCTCCACGTGTTTGTGTTTTTTTAGTTGTTTCCCTTGTAATTGATTCTATTTTCATACCATTGCATTTGGAGAAGATACTTGGTATGATTTCAATCCTTAAAAATTTATTGATATTTGTTTTGTGTCCTAAGGTGGTTTATCCTCAAGTATGTTCCATGTGCATTTGAAATAATGTATATTCTGCTGATTTGAGGTAAGATGCTTTGAAAATATCAATTAAATCCATCTGGTCTAATGTGCCATTTAAGGCCACTGTTTCCTTGATTCTTAGTGTTTGGAGAATGTATCCATTGATGTCCATGAGGTGTTAAAATCCCCTATTAAAAGAAAAATCCCCAACTATTACTGTCGAGCTCTTTCTGTGTTGGCTGCATAAATGCAAGGGTTATATTCTCTTGTTGGATTGATTCCTTTGACATCGTGTAATGTCCTTTTGACTCTTATAGCCTGTATTTTAAAGTCTGTTTTGTCTGATGGAAGTATTGCTACTCTGCCTTTATTTTCATTTTTTAAAAAGATTTTATTTATTTATTTTTAGAGAGAATGGAAGAGAGAAAGAAAGAGAGGTAGAGAAACATCAGTGTATGAGAGAAACATCAGTGGGTTACCTCTCGGCCCCCAATTTAGGTACGTGCCTTGACCAGGGATTGGACGAGTGACCATTTGTTTCCCATGCCAACATTCAATCTACTGAGCCACATCAGCCACGGCTGTTCTTTTTTATGTGCATGAAATATCCTTTTCTATCCCTTTCTTTACTTTCAGCCTTTGTGTGTCTTTTGTTATGAGGTGGGTCTCTTGTAGACATCCTATACTACATAGGCCTTGCTTTCTTATCCATTCAGCTACCCAGTGTCTTTTGATTGGACCATTTAATGCATTTATATTTAAAGTGATTATTGATAAGTACATGTATCTACTGCTGTTTTATTCTTTATATTACCCTTTTTTTCTTCCTTCTTTTCTTAAAGAAGTTCCTTTAACTTTTTCTGTCATACTGGTTTGGTGGTGATGAACTCCTTTAGCTTTTTCTTGTCTGGGAAGCTGTTTCTCCTTCAGTTTTAAATAATAGTCTTGTTGGGTAGAGTAGTCTTGGTTGCAGGTCCTTGCTTTTTATTACTTTGAATATTTCATGCAAATTCCTTCTGAAATGAAATGTTTCTATTCAGAAATCAACTGGTAGTCCTACGGGAGCTCCCTTGTAGGTAACTACCTTTCACTTGCTTTTAAGTTTCTCTCTTTATTTTTAACCTTTGCTATTTTAATTATGACATGTCTTGGTGTGGCTCTCTTTGGATTCATCTTGTTTGGGACTTGTATGGCTTTTTCTTCAAGTTAGGGGAGTTTTCAGCCATTATTTCTTCAAATAGGTTTTCAATCTTTTGCTCTCTCTCTTCTGGTACCCCTATGATGTGGATATTTGACCTAGAGGTCCTTTAGGCTAGCCTTATTTTTTAAAATATTTTTCTTTTCCTTTTTTGCTGCCGTGATTGGGTGTTCTGCTACCTTGTCTTTCAGATTGCTGGTTCAGTTCTTTGCTTCATCTAATCTGTAGTTGATTTCTTCATTTCAGATACTGTGTTCATTTCTGACTGGTTCTTTTTTATGGTTTCCTTTTTTTTTTATGCTGCCACTTTGTTGAGGTTCTCTTTGAGTTCATCCATTCTTTTCCTAAGTTTCTTGAGCATCCTTACAAACATCATTTTGAATCCTGTATCCAGTAGATTGGTTGCCTCAGTTTAATTAGTTTTTGTTTTTTTGTTGTTTTTTTTTTCCTGGGGATTTCTCCTATTCTGTTCAGGGCATGTTTCTTTTCTCCCTGTTTTTGCTGCCTCTTTGTATTTGTTTCTATATATCAGGTAGATCTGCTATGTCTCCCAGTCTTGATGTGGTGGCCTTATGTAGTAGGGGTCCTTGTGGAACTCATTAATGCAGTCTCTCTGATCACCCAAGCTATGTGCTCCAGGAATGTCTCTTGTGCGAGTTATGTGAGCCCTACTTTTGTGGAGTCTTGATTGCTGTTGGCCTACCTTTGGGTTGGGGTTGTTCCTCGGGGTGACTGACAGTGAGCATTGATCCCAACCACAGTGTACAACCTGCTGTGCTGGGTCAGACCCCAGGAAGCTGAATTTGCCCCAGAAGGATGAGTTTCCTGCTGAGATCTTCCTTTGGGTGTGCCACTTATGGAGTTAATTGGGTCTTGTTCTAATGTTGGTGAAGCCTACCACTGAGTGTTTTGGTTCTGGGGCCTTTAGGGAGAGACTCTAGTGCAGGTCTGTGTCATATAGTGCCTGTGAGTGGCCCTAGGCTACCTGTTTGGAGCTACAAAGTGATCCAGTTTGTGGCTGTCTCTAATGGGCCTAGGTGCACACTGGAGGGCCAAGCTGCACACCAAGGTTAGCCTCTACCAGCACCAGACCCTTTGCAGGTCAGCAAAAGGTTTAAGGCACACCAAGGTATACCTCTGGCTACCTATTGCTTGACTGTTAGGCTCAGTCACTGAAAGAGCATCTGGTAAGATTTCCTTTTATTGTGGCTGAATAATATATAATTGTGTGTATTTCCATATATGTATATATGTTTTACGTTTTTTAGGTACCACATTTAAGTGAGATCATACAGTATTTGTCTTTGCTATTATACTACAATTTTGTAAAATGTTACAAGTAGGGGAAACTGAGTGAACTGCTCACTGTATCTCTGCATTGTTTCTTATAGCTCTGTCTGACTTGAGAATTGTCTTGAATAAAAATTTCAATTAAAAATTGAAAAAGGGAGGGATCTATTCAGGATGAAGGATATAGATCTTTCACTGCCTGCTGAACTACCAACTTAGATATTATAATTTTCAGGAAAGCATATACCTTTCAGTTAGTCTCTGTTCTGAACAGGTTTAACTGTTATTTATATAATTCATTTTAGATACTATTTACACTAAGTACTTTGTTTCTGCTGCCTTCACCTTACTCTGTCATTCCACATCAAGTATTATAATTCAAATGTTTTAAGTCCTTAAAATAAATGCTTTATCAAAAGAATGGCTGTTAAATAATAGGGATCTACTGTGTAGATAAAACTGTTACATTATATCACTTACTGGTATTTTTTTGTGTCTACACTCAGTAAAGGTTGTTGCTCATGATCAGAAAATACCATATGTAAAACTTAATGTGCTTTTTACTCAAAATATAAATCTGTCACATATTATTGTTGTTAAAATATCTCCACTTCTTCCTTGATGATTTATTTTTGGTAATTTTTTAGGGATTTGAATGTTTTTTTTTAAACCACCATTTTAATCAAAACTCATATTTTTGTTTTCCAGAACAAAAAGGTTTGGATCACTTTGTCTTTGGATTTTCTCTGTTTAAAGGTAATTTGCTTGTAGAATTTACTAGTCATACTGACTTTTTTGTTTGGGGTGACAATCTATATTTGGTTGTTAATATAGAAATTATACCACATAATAGGTAAGCCTTTTATGCCTTTTTTATTTGCCTTACAAAATTTATATGACTTACTTATGCTATGGAAGTAAATATCAAAATAAATTCCAACTACATTTCTAGTTTATGCTCCATAGAATACATTTTCCAGACATTTATATAAAATCTTAGTCTGTTTTCCTGAAGCTGTATTTTACTCATAGGTTGAAGTATTAGAGCCATGGGAATAAAAGTTCAGCGTCCACGATGTTTTTTTGACATCGCCATTAATAATCAACCAGGTGAGAAGATTAATTTTCCCACTTAACATTTATAAATATTTTTAAGTAGTAAGAACATTTAAATCAACTATCTTTTTAAGCTGGAAGAGTTGTCTTTGAATTGTTTTCTGATGTGTGCCCCAAAACATGCGAGAACTTTCGTTGTCTTTGTACAGGTTTGTTGACATTTTTAATGGCCCTAATAGTCCCATTTTTACTTAACCATACAGACTTTTTTATGCATGTACCTTTTTTCTCTTAACATGTATATTATACAACATTGACTAGGATATCAAAGTAATTCTTAGAAATATTAGTCATAATGGTATTTTATTTGACATTGATTTCTACACTCTCCAGGAAAACGTGATTTTTTAAATAAATTTTTAAAAAATTCCTGAGGAGCTCTGGCTGGTGTAGCTCAGTGAATTGAGTGTGGGCTGCAAACCCAAGAGTTGCCAGTTCAATTTCCAGTCAGGGTACATGCCTGGGTTGCAGGCCAGGTCTCCAGTGGGGGCTGTGTGAGAGGCAACCACACATTGATGTTTCTTTCCCTCTCTTCCTCCCATCCCCTCTTACTAAAAATAAATAAATAAAATCTTTTTTAAAAATTCCTGAGGAAAGTGAAATTTTTATAGTTTAAAAAAGTGTGTATGGTTCAAGAGAGGTATGTTTTAGAGGGTGAAAGTTTTCATCATTAACTATGCTTTAATATACTTCCATGATTTTCTTCTGAATGGCCTACTACTCTTCCTTCTTTATAGGTGAAAAGGGGACAGGCAAATCAACTCAGAAGCCATTACACTATAAGAGTTGTCTCTTTCACAGAGTTGTTAAAGATTTTATGGTTCAGGGTGGTGACTTCAGTGAAGGTAAGACTTTGGTTCCCAAAAAAGAAAATTTTGTATTCTTTGTTAAGTATAGATCTCAAAGTTAGACAAGTTTTAGAGGTACTATTCAGTTTTCTTCTCATCCCACTTAGTTTTTTCTCTAACAATTAGAAGTACTCATAGAAATACATAAAAAGGAAGCACAGGAAATAATTTCACCTTTGATGCATGAATTTCAGAAATTTGCTCCTGCATAAAAAAATAAAATATGGTATTTATCTTTTAGTATTGTATCAGTGTGTTTGTTTTTGTCACAGCTAGTAATCCTTAATTACAATATAGTTTTTACCTCTACTTTTTATTATAAAAACATTGGAATTCTACTTTAAAGACACTTTGAAAAATGTAATTTCTATTTTAAAAACCCTGAATAATCATCATTAGAATCTGACTGTTTTGTTTGTTTTTCACATATCTTAATAGATTTGGTCATATTCTTACTATTATAAGGGAAGTATGTAATTTGAGATCTTGTCAGTATTGAGTTTATGATTTTCTGTGAACCTTTAGGTATTATTGATTCAAGGTAACCCAGGCACTAACTTTCTAAGAAACATTTTGTTTAGGTAGCACCTTCAAGGAGATTACTATCTTGAGAGTTCTGAGAGTCTATGTTTTTCATTCCTAGGAAATGGACGAGGAGGAGAATCTATTTATGGTGGATTTTTTGAAGGTAAAAAAGGGTTTTCTTTTATTTTAAATTGTGGGGTGTGTTTTCTTTTTGCCATTTAATCATTATTTGTTTTTCAATTACAGTTGAAATACAGTGTTATATGAGTTTCAGGTGTATACCCCAGTGATAGTAGAATATAATTGACCTATCTATAGGGAATATATTCCCTATTGTGTACTTCACATCCCCGTGGCAGTTCTATAACAAGCAATTAGTACTTCTTAATCCCTTCACCTTTTTCACCCATCCCCCTAACCCCACTCCTATCTGGCAACCCTCAGAATGTCTCTATATTGTATCTATGGGCAATCTTCAGCACCTTTGTAAAGCAGTATTAACATGCATTGCACCTCCATCAGCAGTGCATTCTGCAGCCATGGAAATGAGTTATGGGTAGAGCCGAATCTTTAATGCACTCAAGACTCTGCCCCGCTCAACTCTGGGGTGGCAGGGAAGGAGCTGAGTAATATCTTCTTTATCCATTTGTCTATCAGTGGACACTTAGGTTGCTTTCATATTTTGGTTATTGTAAATAATGCTGCAGTGAACATAGAGGTGCATATATCTATTCTGATATATATATCAGAAGTAGAATCACTAGATTTTATGGTAATTCTATTTTTAATTTTTTGAGGAACCTCCATACCCTTCTTCGTAGTGATGGTACCGATTCACATTCCCACCAACAGTACACCAAGGTTCCGTTTTCTCTATTTGTCATCCTTGCCAGTTGTTCCTTTTTTGGTTTTGTTGTGTTTTTGATACTAGCCATTCAGACACATGTGATGTGATATTTCATTGTAGTTTTGGTTTTTATTTCCCTGATGATTAGTGATATTGAGCATCTTTTCATGTGTCTATTGGCTATTTGTATGTCTTGGAATAATGTCTATTTAGGTCCTCTGCCCTTTTGGTAATCGATTGTTTAGGGGGTGTTGTGTGTATGTGTGTGCTAAGTTTTATGAGTTCTTCACATTTTGGATATTGACTGTCAGATAATTAATTTGCAGATATTTTTCACTGAATGGTAGGTTACCTTTTTCTTCTGTGATGGTTTCCTTTTTTAATGCAAAAGCTTTTTAGTTTGACATAGTTTTATTTATTTTTGCTTTTGTTACCTTTGATTGAGGACACAGATCCAAAAAAAATTACTGCTATGACCAGTGGTGCAGAATTTACTGCCTATGTTTTTCTTTGGGGAGTTTTACGGTTTCTGGTCTTAAATTTAAGTCATTAATTCATTGAGTTTATTTTTCTATATTGTTTAAGTGATCTAGTTTCCTTTTTTGCTTTATTTGTCCAGTTTTTCCATCACCATTTATTGCAGACACATCTTTCTTATTGTATATTCCTGTCTCTTTGTCTATAATAAACTATTAGAATTATAATGCTAGAATGGGAACTTCCATAGCTTGATCTTAATCCTTTTTTAATTTGTTTTATAAAGCAATTTAAAATTTTTTAAAGTGAAATGTATTTGACATACCATATTATATTAATTTCAAGTGTACAACATAGTGATTTGACATTTAAAAATCTTCAGAAATGATCACTACATTGAATCTAGTAACCATCTGTCACCATTCCAAGTTATTACAGCGTTATTGACTATATTCCTTATGCTGTACATTAATTGACCATTTAAGCATGGGTTTATTTCTAGACTCTTTTGTTCCATCTATCTGTGTGTCTGTTTTTGTGCCAGACCCATACTGCTTTGATTATTATAGCTTTGTTTGAAATTGGGGGGGGCGTGATAATCCAGCTTCATTGTTCTTTCTCAGTGGCTGCTTAAGAGTCTTTTCTGATTCCATACATATTTTAGGATTATTTGTTTTAGTTCTGTTTAAAAAAATCACCCTGGCTGGGGTAGCTCAGTGGATTGAGTGCCAGCCTGCAAATCAAAGGGTTCCATTCCCAGTCAGGGCACATGCCTGGGTTGCAGGCCAGGTCCCGAATAGGGGGCACTCAAGAGGCAGTCACACATTGATGTTTCTCTCCTCTTTCTCCATTCCCTCCCTTTAAAAATAAATAAAATCTTTTTAAAAAAGACCATTGGTATTTCCTGTTGAATCTGTATATTGGTTTGGGCAGGAGACATTATAACAATATTACTTCTTCCAGTACATGAGTATAGTATATTTTTCTATTTATTTGTGTCATGTTCAATTTCTTTCATCAGTGTTTTATTGTTTTCAAAGTACAGGTCTTTCACCTCCCTAGTTAAATTTATTCCAGTGTATTCTGTGCTTTTTGAAGCAATTATAAATGGGAAATTTTTCTTTCTGTTAATTTATTATTAGTGTATAGGAACAGAGCAGATTTTAATATATAAATATTTTTATCTTCAGCTCTATTAAATATATTTATTAGTTCTAATAGTTTTGTTTTAGTTTTTTGGTGAAGCCTTAGGCTTTTCTACATATAGTGTCATGTCATTTGCAAATTGTGAGTTTTATTTCTGTACCAATTTGGATGCCTTTTATTTGTTTTCTTGCCTAATTGCTGTGGCCAGCACCTCCAATACTATGTTTAATACAAGTGGCAATAGCGGGCATCCTTGTCTTGTTCCTGATCTTAGAGGGAAAGCCTTCAGCTTTCTTACCATTGAGTATGATGTTAGCTGTGGGTTTGTCACACATGGCCTATTGTATTGAGGTATGTTCCCTCTATACCCACTTTGTTGAGTTTTTATCATAAATGGATATTGAATAATCTTGACCTTTATTAAAGGAGATTAAACAGTATTTCTTAGTAACTATATTTTAGTGGGTCATTTTTCTATGATGATTTTTTAAAACTTTGATATTCTCAAGTTTAGCTATAGTTTTTCCTAATTTTTAAGTTTTCTCACTGGAATTTTTTACTGATGTGAAGATCACTTGAAAGACTGTAAACCTTTGGGATTCAGTGAACTTTGTTTCAGATTTCACTTTAGTTCTTATCCTAATCCAAGAGGAGAATACAAACTGTTCTCTCTGCAATAAGTGATACTATGGCAGAGATTAATTTAATGAGTACCTCTCTGTGCTCAGAATAATATGTGCCCTTTTGTGTCCAGAAATGAAATAAATGGTGCTCTCTTTGGCAGCACATATACTAAAATTGGAATGGTACAGAGAAGATTAGCATCGCTCCTGTGCAAGGATGACATGCAAATTTGTGAAACATTCTGTAGTTTTAATTCTCCTTAAAAAAGTTAAAGAAACAAATGAAATGAAATATAAAAGAATGCTACCTGGATTCTTTCTCTTGCTTTTTAGGGGACTTTCAATTTTTGTTTAAAAAAGCAAACAAAGTTGTATTGTTTTTTCTTAAAAGAAAAGTAAAGGACAGATGTAAATGGAAAGAAAGAGTGTTGGTAGACTATTTCGATTTTATAGCAAGGGATTGAAAATTAGAAATATTTGAATCAGAAAAGTTGGGGGAAGGAATTGGTTAATATTTGATTCTTCTTTTAACCTCGGTTTTATCTAAATTTTGTTTGGCTCTTAACTAGAGCACAAGTTAAGAAGAGGAGTGAAAATGGTTTTGGGAGGCAGTTTATGCCTATTATGTAACTGAAAACTTTGCTTCTCTCTAGATGAGAGTTTTGCTGTCAAACACAACAAGGAATTTCTCTTGTCAATGGCCAACAGAGGAAAGGATACAAATGGTTCACAGTTTTTCATGTAAGTTTTTTATGATCTGACACCTTAAAATATTCTTTCGGTGTGTCTTTCTCTATGTGCCTGCCTTTGATCCCTAATAAATAGAGGAGGGGTCCATAAGGGAGAGAATTTTTAAAGAAAGGAGAACAAAAAATTGAAGAAGGGAATATTGTTAAAAGGGGAGTTGAACTGTACTGCTAAAGTTTTCAGTGATGAAAACTTGTCAAGGAGACACAGAAGCCAGCTTGAAGGGATAACATTCCCACTGGCCACATTAGAACAATTTGACCATCAAAATAATGACAGTATCAGATTATCAAATAAAACAGAAATCCAGGATTCCATATACATATGAAAAATGAATGACTAGTGGGAAAAGCAGAAACCATTTCATAGTAGAATGTCAACTCATAAATGTAAAAAGAATCCTATAGTAGAAAAATCACCATTTTTTCTCACAAATAATTGATTCAGGAAAGAGTTATCTATGGTGGTAAATTTAGAGGGCATATTTAATAAGAAACGGGGTATTTCCAGTGTCTCTTCATAAATTAGTTAATTAAAGAGTTAAATACAACAGCCCTCATTATTTAAAGATTCTATATTTGTGAATTCACCTACTCACTAAAATATTTTTGTAACCCCAAAGTCAATACTGCTGTTGTTTCCCAATTCTGACTACCAAAAAATTGTGATTAGTGCTCTTGTCAAGCAATGCATATTTTTTATTGTGTCCTCTGGGTACAGACTTGCTCTCCCTTTCAAGAGCTTTAAATTCTCCTGGTGTTAGAAAAATTTAATCTGTTAGCACTAGTGTATTCTAGTGTTTTTTATTTTATATTTGTAACTCTCTTCTTCAACAGTGAAAAACCTGGCTCCCATTATCTTCAAAATTAGTACTCATTGGCTGAATCTTAAAACCAAAAATTTGCCACCCTATATCATTGAAAAGTAACCTGTCAACTAGAGTTCACTGTTAATTTATAGCTATTTTTGTCTTTAGACAGTATATAGTTAAAATACCATGTTTAATGGTGCAGACGCCGGACCGCAGTGTCCGAGTCATTATGGATAAAATGAGACATTCACATGGACTACCGAGTCCGGTGAAGGAAAAGGGACAGCATGGCTTTTCTCTCAAGGGGAGCAAAAGCCACTTCCTCCGCCCTGAAAGGCCTTTATTGGATTTCTCCGCCCATTACATGATGGTCCTCATTACTATGCACAGGTTCACTCTAGGTGATTGCCTTTTACAGAAAACAAAGGAGCCAATGCTGCTAATCACATCACAGAAAAAGGATATTTGCAAGTGAAAAGGCAAAAGTGGTTGAACCAGTTACACTCATCTTTGGAAGCTTTAGCATGGATTTTAGGAAGTTACTTTGCAGTAACTGTCCTCAATTCAGGGTGAGGGAGTTTGAGCAAAAAGCAAGACTCATAGGTGCCTAGGTACATTGAGGCCTGATTCCCCATGGGAGAACCTATCTGTGGGCATGGGTCCCGTGCATCTCCCAGTGGGAGCTGAGCCCACGCCACACAGAACAGTCTCCTGCATTTAAGAGTTCCTTGGATTATTATTTTTTAGTGTGAATTTTATGTTGTTTTTGATAAGTTTTTTTAAGAATTGTCTAATATACAATCAATTACATCAATTTTTTAAAAAATATTTTATTTATTTATATTTTAGAAAAGGTAAGGGAGGGAGAAAGGGAGAGAGAAACATTAATGTGTGGTTGCCTTTCATGTGGCCCCCACTGGGGACCTGGATACAACCCAGGCATGTGCCCTGACCGGGAATCAAACCTGCGATGCTTTGGTTCGCAGCCCATGCTCAATCCACTGAGCTATGCCAGCCAGGGCTCAGTTTTGAGATAAGATTTTTTAAAAATAAAAATAAGTCTTAAACAATGCCCATCTCCAATTTATTGTACCAGTATGTCCTAGTAGCTGGCTACTCAGGTAGCAGCCTTCTTAATGACAAAGCTTTTTAAGGCTGATATGGAGAAAGAAAACATTTAAAAAAATTATTTCATTTCTAAAAAGATACTTTTTCTTTCTTGGGATTTCCTTCAGAGTTTTAATCAAGATCTTTTTCTTCAGCATGAAATTTACTTTATGTCAGGGGGAACAAACTCAAAGGGCTACAGATCTCAGGCAAGTAACATAAGTAAAGACTGTTGGGACAAGAAACTAAACTGTTAATCTTGTATTAAAGACGACAGGGATCCTCAGCCTGGCCAATTATTTCTACATGCTGGGTGCCACATCTTCCAGGTTTCCAAAGGATCTGGATTTTTATGTAAAAGTATGCAAAAGTTTTAAGTGTGTTGGTAGGTAATTTAATAATTTATAAATACTATATGGATTATTTCACTTCAGGTTCAACAGAAAATGGATGAGGGCCATCAGAAGATGATTTATTTGTGTTTTAACTGTTTAAAATGTTAAGATTAAAAACACTATTGTTAAACCCGTAAACTAGTGGAATGGTTTGACAACTTTTGGTATGTCCAGACAGGAGAACATTATACAGCCCTGAATATTCAGTAAGAACCCAGTCATATGCAAGAAACATGGGTGGATAGAAATACACCAAAATATTAATTTTAAATACATGTAAGTGTTCAACAGTGTTTAGGTATTACTTTTATAATCAGAGCAAGTTTTTGAAAATTCATTATGTGAAAAGCATCTTGCATTCTATTCTACTTAAGCTTAATGTAGTGAGAGTCTGTTATATTAATATATTATATGATTTGTTTGCAACTTTGTTTCCAATGCAGTTATTTTCTTTTCCTTTTTAGAGATGCTAACTTTGTTTTTCTCTGACTTTGTTTTTATCCTCCTGTCTGATGATTTCCAAAAGAACAACGAAACCAACTCCTCATTTAGATGGGTAAAGATTACTTTAATTTTATAATCTACTTTAAATTAATATTAAAATAAGAAGCTTTTATTTAATCACTTTTACTTGACTCTTTAGGCATCATGTTGTTTTTGGGCAAGTGATTTCTGGTCAAGAGGTTGTGAGGGAGATAGAAAACCAGAAAACAGATGCAGCTAGCAAACCATTTGCTGAGGTGCGGATACTCAGTTGTGGAGAGCTAATCCCCAAGTCGAAAGGTAAGAACAAGTACATATTTCTGATAATTCTTATGCATATACAACAAGCAGACACTCTAAATAGTTGGCATAAAAGTCACACTATAGTGAGTATAAAAATATGAGGTTTTGTGTTTTGAACATATTTTTGTTTTTTAAATGTGTTTTATCTTTATACTTTCATTTAACTTGGAACCACTTGACTTTTTCTTATTACTAATTTACAGTAATTTGTCCTCCTGTTTCTGCCTTTAAAAAAAAACTCAGTTGTCTAAATAGAATGGAAAACAGGTTCTTTTCTAAGGAAAGAGACAATGTAAAGAAGATGACAATTGAAGTGAATAACATAGACTAGGGAATTTTAGGGGAATAAATTATTTCCCCTTCATGCATTGCATCTGGCATGTTTATGTAACTCTTATAGTTATTATAGATAATTAGGTCTGACATTCTAAAATAATGGGATTACTTTTAAAATTGTGTAGAAAGCAATAAAATATTGAATTGGCTCTTCGATTCTTACTAGTCTAGGGACCAATAACATCAATCCTTAGTTTTTCATGATGAACAAAGGTGAGAGTCATCTGTAATATTTTGTGATCCTCACAGTAGTCCTTTAATATTATTTCCCCTATTTTATAGATGAAGATATATTTACCACATCAGGGAACTAGGTCTCAAACCCAAGTATGCTGATTCCAGATCTAGAGCTCTTACTGTTATGTTGCTAATTCATTGTGCATTAACATTTCTTTCAGAATTGCCCTAAGCAGAACATTCTTTTCTGAAGTTTTGGGTATACTGATTTCCTCTGTAACATTAGAAATATGCACATTTTGTTTTGTTTTGTTTTAATTTTAAAAGACCCCAGATGGTCATAGAGACTTCTGATTTTTTATTTTTTGTCTCTGCATTCCATTTTGATTCTGATGATTTCCCTTTCTTCTCTGTCATATCAAATATGTACCTCATAAACCAGTGCAGGAATATGCAGCTAATAATGGGACTGTGTATATAACTTCTTGGTGTTCATGACTCTGCTTATCCCTTATTTACGAACAACAGGTATAATGTATGCTTTGTGTTTCCCACAATTCAATAAAGAATGAGGCGATGTTGAGTATCGTGAATTTGTTTTAAAAAATTATATTTCAATTTATTTTTCAGTTACAGTTAACATGAGTTTCAGGAATATAACATGGTGATAAGACAAACATTTATATACCCTAATCACTGTTTTAAAAAGGAAAAAGGAAGAAGCCATCTATATTAATGTGTGCAGATTTTAGACCTTGAACTTACTGATATTTAACGCTTCAGAGTGTTGTTTGTACGATTGGAATATTTTGTTTTAAAACAATATTTTTTCCCATATCATCTAGGAAATCTTCATCTTTTATTCTCTAACAGCTAGTTTTTTTCCCTCTTCTTCTTCTTACTACATTTTGTAGTCTTTAAAGTAATTGTGCTAAGATCCATTCTCTGCTTATAAAAGTTAAGAATGCTGTCCTGGCCTGGTGGTTCAGTTGGTTGGAGTGTTGTTCCGTACACCAAAATGTTGTGGGGTTTGATTTCCAGTCAGGGCACATCCAGGAGGCAATTGATTGATGTTTCTCTCTCACATCTGTGTGTGTGTGTGTGTGTGTGTGTGTGTGTGTGTGTCTCTCTCTCTCTCTCTCTCTCTCTCTCTCTCTCTCTCTCTCTCTGTCTCTGTCTTTCCCCTTCTTCCTCTCCCCTCCTTCCTCCCTCCCTCTCTCTCTCTCCCTAAAATCAATAAACAAATCCTCAGGTGAGGACTAAAAACAAACTAAAAAGTTAAGAATACTATGTGGTTTATTTAGAATAAATATTGGGGTACTAAAAAAGCTTATATTTTAAGCCATAAACCATTATCATAGACTCTTGTAATGTTGGTGTGGAGATTCTTTGGGTATTAAGAGGTCAGTGTTTGAATATTTGTTGAAAGGATGAGAATGTGAATGAATGCCAGTCTTTATTATTTGTGCCCTTATTTTCACCTGAAGAGATGAATGCTACTTTTGCCCATGGCATTCTGGCCGGGAAGTTGTACTGAAAGTTGATGTAGTGTGTCTTAGTTTGTGTTCTTCAACTTCATGTTAAAGAAACATGCCTTGCCCTTAATCAGTTTCAGCAGTTGAGGAAGATTGCCCTTTATTAGTGTCTGTCCAGTAGTTCCTAAAGAAGTCAGACTTGTTTCTAGCCATATCTCCCATGCCTGTGGTATTCAAGATAACACTGTAGAAAAGATCTTTATGTTTGAGATCACACAGTTTGGCAACTTATTTTATAGTTCTTCAATTACCATTGGTCAGAATGGATTTTGTCATGCACCTATGTAATCTTTTTTTGTATTTTAAATTGGGAATAGTCAGAAAGCTTACATTTAAAACCTTGTTTGAGAGATTAACACCCCAGTTTAAAAAAATAAATGCAGAATATTTTTTTTTTCCTTTTTCTAACTTCCTGAAAGAAAACAAAAAGACTTCTGAAGAAATCTGACTGTCTGGGCCCACCTGTAAATAGTCTTGGTGAGTCTGGGCAGTCTTCTTGGGCCTTTCTCCTTTTTGCTGTTAAGGCAGTTCTGCTTTTTGTGGCTGTTTGAATGTGCTTGAGAAAGTCCAGAGTCAAAGAGAAGAACCTTCCAATAGATGCTGAGACAGAACACTGGAGACTAATAAAAGCTGCATCTCTGAGGCTTTCAGGGGACATAGTAGAGAGTAGAACACAGAGCTCCAAACACTACCTAGAATAAGGTATTCCCTGTGTTTTCGAGAGTTGGCATGAACTCAAGTCATGCTGGTCTCTTCAGAGTTCAGTTGTTAAGAGAGGCCTGTCCACCATGGCCATGCAACAAGAGACGAAGCCATTGCTGTATTACAGAGTACACAGAAACACTAGTTCTGAATTGTGGCAACATATCAATAAATAAATAGTTATATGAGCAGAAATTTTGCACATACGTGGTAAGAAACAGATTGCTTGGCAGTTCAGAAAGAACAACACAATAGAGGAAGCAGCTGGTAAATGTTGTACTTGGGAGACAGTGGAGAACACCCGAGTTGTTTCTGTGGTGTCAGAGTCCCATTTATTCAGAAATTAAGGATTGTGGTCATGGCACTTTTACGGGAAAACAGTAGGAAATTGTTGAAAAGAGGAGAGCAGAGTTGTGGAACAAAAATACCTAAAGGCAACCCATTTTAGGGATACTTCCACTCTTTGTTTCAAAGTTTATTTCCATAATGTCCCAGAAATTTTCTTATTGTAAAAGTTTCATGTGAAATTCACTGGTGCATACCCTGACCAGTGTGTCTCGGTTGGGCATCATCCCGAAAACCGTAGGGTCTCAGGTTTGCTTCCTAGTCAGGGCACATGCTTACTTAGGTTGCAGGTTCAATCCCCAGTCAGGTCACCGAGGCAACCAATTGATGTTTCTCTCCCTTTCTTTCTCTGTCCCTTTCCCTCTGAAATCAGTGAGCATGTCCTTGGGTAAGGATAAAAAAGGAAAAAAAGAAAAACAAATTGGTATAGAATCTATAGATCTCAAATAAAAATGTAAGGCAGCATTTTCCTTTTAAAAAAATTTATTTTGACTTTATCGGGGTTACATTGGTTAATAAAATTATATAAGTTTCAGACAGCATTTTCTTACCTTAGATTTTTAAGAGTAAAATGTTGTGGGGTTATGTTTGTTGTCAGTAAAGTCAATTGCTAATTAGTAAGATTGAACCACATCCTACCCTAGCTCCCTGCCAAAGGTCAGTGAACAGATTTGGGAAATTATTTTACATAGTGATAAGCAAACTGCATAATTCTAAACTAACCATAAATGGTCCAAGAATTGAAAGTGTTACCATTTAAGCCCTGGCTGGTGTAGCTCAGTGGATTGAGCGCGGACTAGGAACCAAAGTGTCCCAGGTTCGATTCCCAGTCAGGGCACATGCCTGGGTTGCAGGCCATAACCCCCAGCAACCACACATTGATGTTTCTCTCTCTCTCTATCTCCCTCCCTTCCCCTCTAAAAACTAAACAAATAAAATCTTTAAAAAAAAAGTGTTACCACTTATAATTCCTTTTCATCCATTTTAATTAACTTTCATTGAGGTGTTGCTTTTACTACTGTTTCATTTTGGAAACCTTAAGGATATTGATGCTTGTAAGATACTTTGAAATAGATTTTGTGTAAGTGGTTAGGCAGAGAGGTAGGGTTTTTTGGAGAAAGGGGTGGAAACAGTTGTCATACTTGGAAGTTTAAAAATTTGTATTTTTAAACTTAGTAAATTCATTTGGTTCAAAATTTAAAAAGCATGAAAGTAGTCAATAAAAATTCTCCCTATCTCTGTCCATCAGTTCCCATTCCCAAATTTTGTGCAGCATTCCACGTGTATGTGAATGCCAATCGTGTAGGGTACATTTTTAGAAATGGTATTAACAGATTATAGGAGTCCTGCATTTGTAATTTTGGTACACATTGCTACTAGAATATAGGAAAATAAATTTGTACCCTTTGCAGAGCCACATATTATCAAACTAGTGAATCTTTGCCAGCCTAATAGGTTTTTTAAAAAGCCAGTTTTAATTTTCATTTCTCTAAGGTGCTTATTAGCATTTCTTAAAAACCTATTTGTAATTATTTTTGTATTAACTTATTGCTAACTGCTATCCTCAGCCCCCATTTTTACTCATTCTTCTTCTTTTCTGAAATTTCAGTCCTTCTGTTATTTCTGTTGTTTGAAAAATTTTCTTTAACCACTTTTTAAGGATAGGTGTGCTGGTAACAGATTATCTTAGTTTTATTAAAACGTCTTTATTTAGTTTTCATTTGATGGGTGTTTTCACTGGTTGCAAAAATCTGGGTTGATCATTCTTTCAGCATATAAAAAAGTGTTATGCCACTTTCTTCTGGACTCTCTAGTTTCAAATGAGAAGTCTTTTGTCTCCCAAATCATTGTTCCCCTATAGTTAACTTAACTGTTCCTCTCTGCTTTCAATGTATATGTATT